AGCCGGAGCAGAAGTGGTGCCGGCACTGGGAGCACTGGAAATGCAAACAGCCCCCCCGGGCCAGGGCGAAGCGCTGCCCGCAGCGGGGGCACTCTGGGACGCCCAAAAAACAGCGAAATCAGCCCAAAACGAGGGTGGGAATGGAAAAATTGACACAAAAACCACAAAAATCCACCCCAAATCACACAAAATCCACCCAAAATCAGCCAAAAAATGGAAAAATTGACACAAAAACACCAAAATCCACCCAAAATGACCCAAAATTGACACAAAATCCACCCCAAATCACCCAAAAAACACCAAAATTGACCCAAAAAACGCTAAAATTGACCCAAAATCAGCCCAAAATCCACCAAAATTGACCCAAAATCAGCCCAGAAATGGAAAAATTGACCCAAAATTGACCCAAAAACCGCTGAAATTGACCCAAAATCACCCAAAATCCACCCAAAATCAGTGCGGGAATGGAAAAATTGACCCCAAAAACACCAGAATTGACCCAAAATGACCCAAAATTGACCCAAAATCATCCCAGAAATGGAAAAATTGACCCAAAACCACAAAAATCCACCCAAAATCAGCGCGGGAATGGAAAGAACGACCCAGAATTAGCCAAAATTGACCCAAAATCACCCAAAATCCAACAAAATCCACCCAAAATCAGCCCAGAAATGGAAAAATTGACCCAAAATTGACCCAAAAACCGCTGAAATTGACCCAAAAAACACCAAAATCCACCCAAAATCAGCGCGGAAATGGAAAAATTGACACGAAATGACCCAAAATTGACCCAAAATCCACAAAAATTGACCCAAAATCACCCAAAAAACACCAAAATTGACCCAAAAATGGAAAAATTGACCCAAAATGACCCAAAATTACCCAAAATTGACCCAAAATTACCCAAAAAGTACTAAAATTACCCAAAATCACCCAAAAAACACCAAAATTGACCCAAAATGACCCAAAATTGACCCAAAATCAGCCAAAATCTACCCAAAAAACACCAAAATTGATCCAAAACCCCTGAAATACACCCAAAATCCACCAAAATCGACCCAAAATCAACCCAAAATCAACCCAGAAATGCAAAAATTGACACAAAAAACACCAAAATTGACCCAAAAACCACCCAGAAATAGAAAAATTGACCCAAAACCACCCAAATTCACCCAAAATCTGCCCAAAAATGGAAAAATTGACACAAAAAATATCAAAATTGACCCAAAAACCACAAAAATCCACCCAAAATCAGCGCGGGAATGGAAAGAACGACCCAGAATTAGCTAAAATTGACCCAAAATCAACCAAAATCCACCCAAAAAATACCAAAATTGATCCAAAAACTGCTGAAATTGACCCAAAATCACCCAAAATCCACCCAAAATCAGCGCGGGAATGGAAAAATTGACCCAAAAACCACTAAAAATGACCCAAAAACCGCTGAAATTGACCCAAAATCACCCAAAATCCAACAAAATCCACCCAAAATCAGCCAAAAAATGGAAAAATTGACCCAAAAACACCAAAATCCACCCAAAATCACCCAAAAAACACCAAAATTGACCCAAAATGACCCAAAATCGACCCCAAATCAGCCAAAATCCACCCAAAAAACACCAAAATTGATCCAGAAATGGAAAAACTGACCCAAAAAACCCCTAAAATTGACCCAAAAACCCCTAAAATTGACCCCAAATCAGCCAAAAAACACCAAAATTGACCCAAAATCAACCCAGAAATGGAAAAATTGACCCAAAATCAGCCAAAATGACCAAAAACCACCAAAACCGACCCAAAAAACGTCAAAACTGAGAGAAATTGACCCAAAATTGACCCAAAATGACCCAAAATGACCCAAATTGACCCAAAATGACCCAAAATGACCCAAAATGACCCAAAATGACCCAAAATTGACCCAAAATGACCCAAAATGACCCAAAATTGACCCAAAATCACCGAAATTGACCCAAAATCCCAATTTTTCCCCCCAAAAATTCAAATTTTTCCTACTAAAATTGACGGGTTTTGCCCTAAAATCCCCATTTTTTTTTCCCAAAAATTCCCATTTTTCCCCAATTTCCGTTTTTCCCAAAATCCCCATTTTTCCACCCAAAAAAATCCCAATTTTCCCAAAAAAATCCCCATTTTTCCCCATAAAATCCCCATTTTTTCCCCAAAAATCCCCATTTTTTTCCCAAAAATCCCCATTTTTTCCCCAATTTCCATTTTTACCAAAATCCCCATTTTTCCACCCAAAAAAAAATCTCCATTTTCCCAAAAAAAATCCAAATTTTCCCCCCAAAATCCCCATTTTTTCCCCAAAAATCCCCATTTTTTTCCCAATTCCCGTTTTTTCCCAAAATCCCCATTTTTCCACCCAAAAAAAAATCTCCATTTTTCACCAAAAATTTGATTTTTAGCTTGTAAAATCCCCATTTTTTGCCCTAAAATCCCCATTTTTTCACCAAAAATCCCCATTTTCCCCAAATTTATATTTTTACCCAAAATCCCATTTTTTCCACCCAAAATCCTGAATTTTTCCACCCAAAATCCCAATTTAATTCCCAAAAAATCCCCATTTTTCCCCATAAAATCCCCATTTTTTGCCCTAAAATCTCCATTTTTCCACCAAAAATTCCCATTTTTTTTCCAAAAAATCCCATTTTTTCTCCAATTCCCATTTTTTACCAAAATCCCCATTTTTCCACCCCAAAAAAATCCCAATTTTCCCCCCAAAATCCCCATTTTTTCCCAAAATCCTCATTTTTCCACCCAAAAAAAATCTCCATTTTTCCCAAAAAATTTGATTTTTTGCTTATAAAATCCCCATTTTTTGCCCTAAAATCCCCATTTTTCCACCAAAAATTCCCATTTTTTTCCCAAAAATTCCCATTTTTTCCCCAATTCCCATTTTTTCCCAAAATCCCCGTTTTTCACCCCATTTTCCCCCAAAAAAATCCCAAATTTTTCCCAAAAGAATCCAAATTTTCCCCCCAAAATCCCCATTTTTCCCCATAAAATCCCCATTTTTTGCCCTAAAATCCCCATTTTTTCACCAAAAATCCCAACTTTTTTTCCCAAAAATCCCCATTTTTCCCCAAATTTATATTTTTACCCAAAATCTCATTTTTTCAACCCAAAATCCTGAATTTTTCCTCCCAAAATCCCAATTCATTTCCCAAAAAATCCAAATTTTCCCCATAAAATCCCCATTTTTTGCCCTAAAATCCCCATTTTTCCACCAAAAATCCCCATTTTTTTTCCCAAAAATTCCCATTTTTTCCTCAATTCCCATTTTTTCCCAAAATCCCCATTTTTCCACCCAAAAAAAATCCCAATTTTCCAAAAAAAATCCCCATTTTTCCCAAAAAATTTGATTTTTTGCTTGTAAAATCCCCATTTTTCCACCAAAAATACCCATTTTTTTCCCCAAAATTCCCATTTTTTCCCCAATTTCCATTTTTTACCAAAATCCCCATTTTTCCACCCAAAAAAAATCCCAATTTTTCCCAAAAAATTTGATTTTTTGCTTGTAAAATCCCCATTTTTTGCCCTAAAATCCCCATTTTTTTCCCCAAAACTTCCTTTTTTTCCCCAATTCCCGTTTTTTCCCAAAATCCCCGTTTTTCACCCCATTTTCCCCCCAAAAAATCCCAAATTTTTCCCAAAAAAAATCCAAATTTTCCCCCCAAAATCCCCATTTTTTGCCCTAAAATCCCCATTTTTCCACCAAAAATCCCCATTTTTTTCCCAAAAATTCCCATTTTTTCCCCAATTCCCGTTTTTTACCAAAATCCCATTTTTTCCACCCAAAAAAAATCTCCATTTTTCCCAAAAAATTTGATTTTTTGCTTGTAAAATCCCCATTTTTTGCCCTAAAATCCCCATTTTTCCACCAAAAATCCCCATTTTTTTCCCCCAAAACCCCCATTTTTTCCCCAATTCCCATTTTTTCCCAAAATCCCCATTTTTCACCCCATTTTCCCCCCAAAAAATCCCAAATTTTTCCCAAAAAAAATCCAAATTTTCCCCCCAAAATCCCCATTTTTTGCCCTAAAATCCCCATTTTTCCACCAAAAATCCCCATTTTTTTCCCAAAAATCCCCTTTTTTTCCCCAATTTCCATTTTTTCCCAAAATCCCCATTTTTTCCCCAAAAATCCCCATTTTTTCACCAAAAATCCCCATTTTTTTCCCAAAAATTCCCATTTTTTCCCCAATTCCCATTTTTTACCAAAATCCCCATTTTTCCACCCCAAAAAAATCCCAATTTTCCCCCCAAAATCCCCATTTTTTCCCAAAATCCTCATTTTTCCACCCAAAAAAAATCTCCATTTTTCCCAAAAAATTTGATTTTTTGCTTATAAAATCCCCATTTTTTGCCCTAAAATCCCCATTTTTCCACCAAAAATTCCCATTTTTTTCCCAAAAATTCCCATTTTTTCCTCAATTCCCATTTTTTCCCAAAATCCCCATTTTTCCACCCAAAAAAAATCCCAATTTTCCAAAAAAAATCCCCATTTTTCCCAAAAAATTTGATTTTTTGCTTGTAAAATCCCCATTTTTCCACCAAAAATACCCATTTTTTTCCCCAAAATTCCCATTTTTTCCCCAATTTCCATTTTTTACCAAAATCCCCATTTTTCCACCCAAAAAAAATCCCAATTTTTCCCAAAAAATTTGATTTTTTGCTTGTAAAATCCCCATTTTTTGCCCTAAAATCCCCATTTTTTCACCAAAAATCCCAACTTTTTTTCCCAAAAATCCCCATTTTTCCCCAAATTTATATTTTTACCCAAAATCTCATTTTTTCAACCCAAAATCCTGAATTTTTCCTCCCAAAATCCCAATTCATTTCCCAAAAAATCCAAATTTTCCCCCTAAAATCCCCATTTTTTGCCCTAAAATCCCCATTTTTCCCAAAAAATTCCCATTTTTCCCCAATTTCCATTTTTTACCAAAATCCCATTTTTTCCACCCAAAATCCCAATTTAATTCCCAAAAAAATTCACATTTTTCCCCCCAAAATCCCCATTTTTTGCCCTAAAATCCCCATTTTTTGCCCTAAAATCCCCATTTTTCCACCAAAAATCCCCATTTTTTTTCCCCAAAAATCCCCATTTTTCCCCAATTTCCATTTTACCCAAAATCCCCATTTTTCCACCCAAAAAAATCCCAATTTTCCCAAAAAAATCCAAATTTTCCCCCCAAAATCCCCATTTTTAGCCCAAAAATCCCCATTTTTTCCCATAAAATTCCCATTTTTTTTTCCCCAAAATCCCCATTTTTTCCCCAATTCCCGTTTTTTCCCAAAATCCCCGTTTTTCACCCCATTTTCCCCCAAAAAATCCCAAATTTTTCCCAAAAAAATCCAAATTTTCCCCATAAAATCCCCATTTTTTCCCAAAAATCCCCATTTTTTCCCCCAAAATCCCCATTTTTTCCCCAATTCCCGTTTTTTACCAAAATCCCATTTTTTCCACCCAAAAAAAATCTCCATTTTTCCCAAAAAATTTGATTTTTTTCCCCGTAAAACCCCCATTTTTTGCCCTAAAATCCCCATTTTTTCACCTAAAATCCCCATTTTTTTACCAAAAATCCCCATTTTTTTCCCCAAAATCCCGTTTTTTTCCCCAATTCCCATTTTTTACCAAAATCCCCATTTTTCCACCCAAAAAAAATCCCCATTTTACCCAAAAAATTTGATTTTTAGCTTGTAAAATCCCCATTTTTTGCCCTAAAATCCCCATTTTTTCACCAAAAATCCCCATTTTTTCCCCAATTTCCATTTTTTACCAAAATCCCATTTTTTCAACCCAAAATGCTGAATTTTTCCCCCCAAAATCCCAATTTTTCCCAAAAAAATTCACATTTTCCCCATAAAATCCCCATTTTTTCCCTAAAATCCCCATTTTTTCCCCCAAAATCCCCATTTTTTCCCCAATTCCCGTTTTTTACCAAAATCCCATTTTTTCCACCCAAAAAAAATCTCCATTTTTCCCAAAAAATTTGATTTTTAGCTTGTAAAATCCCCATTTTTTGCCCTAAAATCCCCATTTTTTCACCAAAAATCCCCATTTTTTCCCCCAATTCCCGTTTTTTCCCAAAATCCCCATTTTTCCACCCAAAAAAATTCCCAATTTTCCCCCCAAAATTCACATTTTTTCCCCAAAAAATCCCCATTTTTCCCCATAAAATCCCAATTTTTTCCCCAAAAATCCCCATTTTTTTCCCCAAAATCCCCATTTTTTCCCCAATTTCCATTTTTTACCAAAATCCCATTTTTTCAACCCAAAATGCTGAATTTTTCCACCCAAAATCCCAATTTAATTCCCAAAAAAATTCACATTTTTCCCCATAAAATCCCCATTTTTTGCCCTAAAATCCCCATTTTTTCACCAAAAATCCCCATTTTTTCCCCAATTTCCATTTTTTACCAAAATCCCCATTTTTCCACCCAAAAAAAAATCCCCATTTTTCCCAAAAAATTTGATTTTTAGCTTGTAAAATCTCCATTTTTTGCCCTAAAATCCCCATTTTTCCACCAAAAATCCCCATTTTTTTTCCCAAAAATTCCCATTTTTTCCCCCAATTCCCGTTTTTTCCCAAAATCCCCATTTTTCACCCCATTTTCCCCCCAAAAAATCCCAAATTTTTCCCAAAAAAATCCCAATTTTCCCCCCAAAATCCCCATTTTTTCACCAAAAATCCCCATTTTTTCCCCCAATTCCCGATTTTTACCAAAATCCCCATTTTTCCACCCAAAAAAATTCCCAATTTTCCAAAAAAAATCCCATTTTCCCCATAAAATCCCCATTTTTTCCCCATAAAATCCCCATTTTTTCACCAAAAATTCCCATTTTTTCCCCAATTTCCATTTTTTCCCAAAATCCCAATTTTTCAACCCAAAATGCTGAATTTTTCCACCCAAAAAAAATCTCCATTTTCCCAAAAAATTTGATTTTTTCCCCATAAAATCCCCATTTTTTGCCCTAAAATCCCCATTTTTTCACCAAAAATCCCCATTTTTTCCCCAATTTCCATTTTTTCCCAAAATCCCCATTTTTCCACCCAAAAAAAATCTCCATTTTCCCAAAAAATTTGATTTTTTCCCCATAAAATCCCCATTTTTTGCCCAAAAATCCCCATTTTTTGCCCTAAAATCCCCATTTTTCCACCAAAAATCCCCATTTTTTTTCCCAAAAATCCCATTTTTTCCCCAATTCCCATTTTTTCCCAAAATCCCAATTTTTCCACCCAAAAAAAATCCCAATTTTCCCCCCAAAATCCCCATTTTTCCCCATAAAATCCCCATTTTTTCCCCATAAAATCCCCATTTTTTCCCCAAAAAATCCCCATTTTTTCACCAAAAATCCCCATTTTTTTTCCCCAAAACCCCCATTTTTTCCCCCAATTCCCGTTTTTTCCCAAAATCCCCATTTTTCCACCCAAAAAAATTCCCAATTTTCCCCCCAAAATTCACATTTTTTCCCCAAAAAATCCCCATTTTTCCCCATAAAATCCCCATTTTTTCACCAAAAATCCCCATTTTTTCCCCAAAAATTCCCATTTTTCCCCAATTTCCATTTTTTACCAAAATCCCATTTTTTCCACCCAAAATCCTGAATTTTTCCACCCAAAATCCCAATTTAATTCCCATAAAATCCCCATTTTCCCCCATAAAATCCCCATTTTTCCACCAAAAATCCCCATTTTTTCCCCCCAAAATCCCCATTTTTTTTCCCCAAACCCCCATTTTTTCCCCCAATTCCCGTTTTTTCCCAAAATCCCCGTTTTTCACCCCATTTTTTCCCCCCTCACCGACGCCGGGGTCCCCCAGGAACGCCCCCAGCCCGGTCGGGGGCGGCTCCCGGGAACGAATCCAGGCCCGGAATTGGGAGCAGGACATGGAGCCGTGCTGGGGCTGCCACTGCGGGGAGGAAAGGGTTAAAATTGACCCAAAATTGCAGAAATTCCACCCAAAAATTCATCCCAAAATTAGGAAAAAATCCCCAGAAAAATCGGCCAAAAAAATCCCCAAAAAATCCCAAAAAAACCCCAAAAAAATCAAGAAAAATTCCCCAAAAAATTCAAAATAATTCAAAAAAAATTCCCCAAAAATTGGCCCAAAATCCCCAAAATTTGGCCCAAAAATTCCCCCAAAAAAACCCCAAAAATCCCCATTTTTTCCCCATTTTTTGCCCCAAAAATCCCCATTTTTTGACCCAAAAATCCCCATTTTTTGACCCAAAATTGAACTCCAGGCCCGGAATTGGGAGCAGGACATGGAGCC